GAGTACTTGGAGACTAGATTATTTCTACATCACATTTCTTTGACAGGCTTTTAATGTAGTGTCAACTTCTTTAATCCACAGCCCAGAAAATTCTACAGGTAACTGACATCATTCATTATGATGACTTGGCTGTGATAACAAAATTAATATAGCAGTAAACGTTGTTTATTAAAAGGAGTTAGACTGTGGGAGAGTTTTAATGTGTTTATAAAACAATGGAACTAATGAGGGGACCCATGGACTCTTATGAAACATCTCTTTGGGGAAGGGGAGTAGAAAATAAGTCATGTAAGGGGAAATTAGTAAAGATTTTTTAAATCCTCAAGGGATTATATAATTTACCAGAACATTTGTTTTTACATGAGAAATAAGTTAAAGATTGGAAAACAGAAGTGAAAAAAAAATAGGCCTATCTGGAAATTGAGAAGTATCAGTAACAGGTTCCCTTGGCATCAAGTCTGGGACTGTTCATACTTAATGATTTAATAAAGATACACATGGGTGGAATCTCCAGGCTTAGAGCTAGCCCTCATACTCAGGAATAATGAAGGCGTCAATGGTGGATGCGGACAGCAAGAAGGTCAATGAATGCTGTGCGAGTTTGAAAAAAGGTGGTAGATAAACTATTGAGAAGAAATAGTCTGGGACCAGCAGGTGGAGTAGTGATTAAGGTGCTGGACTCCCATATGGCTGACCATGGTTCAAGTCCCAGACCTGGCAGCTTGAGAATCACCCCTGGCACGTGTGTGTGTGTGCCTACAACCCCAAGAGGAGAATGGAGGAGAAGGGATTGCAGTGTGATCATCCGCCCTGGTGGATGAGTTCTCACTTTCTCTCTTCAGGGAGCACATGCACCCTGTGACTAAAACCTTTTTTAAAAAAAAGTCTGAACTTCATACAGTTATATCTGCTTTAGAAGCTTTTTATACAGTAAGGTGAGGTATAAACAAATAAATAGATGATAAAACTACTGAACTATATACCTATAGCTAAGAAAGGGATTTAAGTGTAATTTGCTATTTAGAAGTCTAAGTCGTGAGTTAGAGTAACTGAGGGGAGCTGGCTACTCTGTAGTCGTTATTTTTATTCATTTTCATTCTGGAGAGGGAGAGAATGAGATAAGTGCATGCGTGTGTGTGCATAGGTGTGTACATAATTGCATAACAATCTTAAATTGACCGATGGTCCACTGAACATCATCAGTACCCAAAATGACCTTCATCTATGAAATTTCAAACTTCAAGTATTCTATTCTCAGGCAGAAATGTCCTATTTTTACCTTCTTCCTATGCTTTCTTCCCACTGAAATTGTTTTTCTGCTTCATTGAGTGAGATCTTTCTCCTTAATTCTCTTATATTATCAGTAGCCTTTTTCCTTTCCAGCCTATCATGGGCCATATGGCTGTTCAAATGAATTGCAGTCCTATCATCTCCTTCCTCTCTCCTACACCAAGGTTGTTGAATTATCCCAGAGGAAAACACCATATAGGGCAAAACTCACCAGGCGTGAGCTCCTCTCCTCCACCCTGCTCTGCTTCCCTCTCTCAGAAGAGAATATTTTTCTTTTGAATATCAGAACATGGATCACAACTCATTCTCTTTCGTTTCCCTAGAACTTGCTTCTTACTGATAAATTTCACAACTTAGAAAATTATTCTGGCTGCAGTGTCAGTGATTGACTAATTAGAGGAGGGACTACATTTGAAAAACACAATGGGCAGATGTGCATGTGTGTCCACAATCCCAACATGGAGAAATGGAGGAGAAGGGATAGCAGCACGACCATGCTTCATGGTGGTGGTAGGGGAGTACTCGCTCTCTCTCTCTCTCTCTGGCAAATACTTGCACCCTCTAGCAATGAAAAAAAAAAAGGAATACAAATTGAAATAGAGTATGGGCCAGTGGAGTAGAAGTCATGATAAAAACAAACAGTTGTGGAACAGCCAAGCTATAGAATACTCACAGAGTCTGGAGGTTAGACTATGGAGAGTGATGCAAAACAAAGATCAGAGTGTGAGCCTAGAGGTGAAGGACTAAGGTTTGGTGGAGCTCTACAACAAGGCCAAGTACCCTAGAGGCAAGGTATCCTTCACTACTCCTGTCTGGACAAGATAGTTTTACATACACCCTCCTAAATGGTTTGCTTTTTTTTTGTCCTATTCAAGTCAGTAATATACCTGGAATTGATATTCATATATGACATGAAATTTTTATTTTTAGTCTTTTCTATTTGAATAACCAGTTATTTTGGGGCCATAACCAGTTATTTTTGGGTCATTTGTTGAATATTTATTTAGTCCCTTAATATTCATTGAATTGCTTCCTTCACTATCCTTACCTTTTATTCAATCTTTATTTCTTTGAGCTATAAGTAATGCAGTCAACCTTCAGTCTCTGGTCCATATTCTTTAACTCACTGTAAAAATTATCTTTCCAAGATATAAATATAGCCCTATCACAACCCTGATTAAAGTACTTAAATTACTTTTTTTTTTGGAGAAATTTTTCTATAGGGCACATGTACTTGCCAGAAAGTCAGAAAGAGACAGACAGACAGAAAGTTTGAAATCCCCCCCCAGGGGGTTGGCCATGCCACAGTCCCTTCTCCTCCATTCTCCTCTCAGGATCTTGGGCACGCATGCACATGTGCCCAGCATGAGTTTAAGCCACGTGGTCCGGGACTCAAACCATGGTCGACCACATGGGAGTCCAGCAACACAGCCATTATGGCAACTGCTGGTCCCCTTAAATTACTTTTTACTATCCACAGGAAAAAAAAATTCCTAATTCTTTCATATTTAAAACATTTCAAAATATTTCTCTTTATAATATTTCTTTGCATATCAAATCATCTTCATTTTTCTGGCATTATCCACACTTATACTCAAATGCTACTGTATGGAAAATATATGATTCAATGAACTTGGATTATCTTTTACCAGAACTACTAACTGGAATCATAACTGCTAGGTTTGGAAGCTCTAATCCAACCACAGTTGTGCACCCTAGATGCTGCTCCTTGGTAGTCTGAAGCCACATGGGAGGCCTGGGTTTGATTTCTGGCCCGCCCTAAAAAGTCAAGTATGGTGGCATGTACCCATAATCCCAGCTATCCAGGAGGCTGAGACTATAAAAAAAAATTAAAAAATTAAAAAAAGCGGGGGCAGGGGCACCACCACACACATGCACACACAAGGTCTGATTCACTTATTTGTCATTCATTTGGTATCTCTATACTAGGTGTCATATGGTGTTTTAAGTTTCTTTAAGCATTTATTATCTCAAGAAGGATAGAAAGTATTAACCCAAATATCTGTTAAAAACAGAAAGTGGTTCAGGGGTAAAACACAACACTCTGCATGGCAATCCCACATAGGAAGGTTCCCAGTTCGGGTTGAGACACTTCACTGACTACTCTGAGCACACAAATGCCCACGATCCAGGGCTGGCAAAAGCTGGTGGTGGATCATAGCATCCAAGACTTTATCAGGGGCACTTGTCTCTCTCACTCTCTCCTTTTTCTCTCTCCATCTCTCTTTTTCCTTCTCTTTCTCACTCTGTCACTCTTACTTGTTGAAGAAAGAAATAAACTTAAAAATTGTACAAAGGCAGGCAGGGGAGGCTAATAGAAGAGTAGCAGCAGGCATCTGAGTGCACCATTGGAGAGTTCTGCCGAGGGATGGATGGCGTTGTGTGGATGACATCAGTGGCAGCTTTGTGGAAAGGTGGAATGGATCCATCCTGAAATAAAATTCACAAATTCAGAGGAGGAACATGGGAGAGATTTTTTGGGAGAGGAGTGGCATCAATAGTGGCGAGAGAAGTGGGGAATCGTGACCTTGGAGTGCATAACAGAGCAGGAAATGTGAGCGGCTAGGAAGATCAAGTGAGGTCAGAGTGTCTGTGTTCTCAGAGGACTGTCTAGAGATTAAGCTCTAGTGATTTGGCAGTAGGAGCCAATGAAAACCTCCCCTGAGGGGCTGATATAGTTCTGTCCTGATATGAGCAGGTGGGCTGCAATTTGGAGAGATTAAGTCAAAGAGGTTGCACTAATAGTTGAGGGCTCGCCCAGAAAGAAGAGAAGAGAAACTTCAGACGTAGAACCCCGAGCTGTTAGATGGAAGGAAGGGCACCCAGGAAGGGTCTGACTCAGCTCCACAAAATATTGGGTTGTCAGGGATCAGCAGTTAGCATAATGTCTATGTCGCTGGATTCCCATGTATTCGAACACGGTTCGAGTCCCGGACCCGGTGGCTTAAACTCACACCAGGTGCGTGTGCTTGTGTGCCCAAGATCCCAAGAGGAGAAGGGATT